AACTATTAATTACTTGAAATATATATGTGTGACTAAATATTATTGGATAATAAATAGTATATAATTAAAATAATTATCATAATTTTATACGGTTAAATTAAATCTAAATACACACTATAAGAGTGGATAGTTTATTAATGCTTTTATAAGCATTTATGGAGCTTTGACACTTCTCGTTATGCTTGTTGGTTTGTGGTCATAATTTTACTTAAACTTATTTAATTAAGATATAGAAAAACTAAAAATGATTGGATAATGGCAGTAGCAGCCTATACACGTGTGTAGGGGTTTTTAGGCATTGATTATTTGAAAATTTTAAATCGAATTCAACCAATCCAATTTTATAAAAATGAGTAGGTTAATCAATGAATTAGTTTGATTTTTTTAAAATGTAAATTAAATTTTTTAAATTAAATTGGTTCGGTATGGTGTAGTTATTTATTTATTATTTATATATAGATCGATTTTTTAAAAAAATTAAATTGAATTGAACCAATCTATTTTATAAAAATGGATCGGGTAATTGAATCGATTTTATAGAGTGGATCGATTCAAATTTTTTTCAAAATAAATCAAATTTTTCTATACAGATCAAATTAGTGAAAGATCAATTCAGATTGAATTTTTTACACATCCCTACGGGTCGACATGACAAGAGCTGTGTTAATTGTTTTTAGATGTTGACCTTCATTTCATGCATGATACCCATTGCAGAAATATTGTTGTACACAACTGACCAACGCAAATTCCAAACACCTAATTAAAAATAAGGCATATTGTTAAAAGCTAATCATTGCACACCACGAAAAATTACACTAAAAATAATACATTTTCATTTTACTAAAATCATCTAAATATTAATCGTTGATAATAATATAATATTTTTAATATTACTTGTAATAATTTTTGTACATAAAATATATATATATTTTTTTTTACTTGCAGTGGAATGACGAAAGTAAGTTAAAAATAAAGGGTTCTCATTAATTTCTTATAAGATTAAAAAAAAAAAACTTTTAAAACATGGTCTACGAAATCATACATTAATTAAAGGTAATTTACATATATAACATGTATTAATCTTGTAAATTGTTGTCTATTTTCACTATCAATCACAAAAAAAGGCCTTTCTTTTTATCTAAAACTTATACAATTACAAAAGTTATACTTAAGAACTTATTTGTGTGATATGCAAGTTCTCCACAGGTCATTTCCAATAATAATTGATAACATAACTGATAAGTTTTTAAGTGAAAATAACCTAAAATTTTTTGATAAAAAAGATGTTGAGGAAAGAACTTTGTTAAACCTTCTAAAATGTTATATTTATAAGAAAAAAAATATTTTATATACCAAATCAAGAAGATGAGGTAGCAATAATTCTTAAAAGACCAAGTCAAAGAGATAAGATAAGAATTAGATTGAATGACCAAGTCAACAAGACCAAATTTAATTAAAAATATATTTTATATAAAAATTAAATTAATTTATAATAATTTCTAAGCCTTGATTAAATAAATATTGTTAATCTTTTTAAAATATCACTCAAAATATACGACAATTCCCACATAATTCAAAAAGATTAAAGAAAAGATTTTAAGAAAACAAAAAAAAAATTGGATTCTCATTCTCTTTGATGTAATGTGTCGAATCTAGTATAGCAAATTATATAAACCAAACCTATATGGATAAGACTTAACACACAATGTAGTTGGTATAACAAACTATATGAATCAAAAGAAAAATTGTTTCTCAAAATCATCTCAAACTAAGTCAACAGGTCAAGAAGATAAGGTAACAATAATTTTTAAAAGACCAAGTGAAAGGAATAAAATAAGAATTGGTCTAAATGATCGAGTCAACAAGATCAAATTTAATTAAAATATATTTTAAATAAAAACTAAATTTATGATAATTTCTAAACCTTAATTAATAAATATTGTTATTTTTTTTTGAAATATCACTCAAAAATAAACGATCATTAATACCTTATGACACTTTTAATTAATCAAGTAACTATTAATAAACTTATAAAATATTTCTCACCCAAAATAACTAAAATTAGTTGTGACATTGTCATAAAATAATATATTTTAACATGTTTTTAATCAAAATCAATTTATGTACCAAAAAAAATTCAGTAATGTACCCAAAAAAATTACTATCAATTTAAATAGTTTATTTATTTTTGGTGCATATGTGTAGCAGGTTCATATATTGAACACAAAATTAGTGACATGTTAGGATCCTTATATCAAAAGCTTACCGTCTATAGTTAACTAAAATTCAATAGTATCCTAGTTAATCCAAAATTTTACTTGTTGAATTAAAGATTAGAAGAGATTCACCAGAAAAATTTCACCTTTATTACCAAAAAAATCTCCTTAAATAGATATGTCCCAAAGTAGGTGTGGGGGTTTAGTTGTATTAAAAATAGTCTCACATTCACATTCACCTAAGTGTGTTCCATGTGGCATCTAACGTTCCACGTATACCGTTAACATGCTAAATTAACTATGCCATGCATTAAACAAACTTTGCTACACATCAGAGACTAATTTATGTACACGCAATCTTTTGAGGACGAAATTGATTTAAATTACTACTTTCGGGGATCAAAGAGATTGTATAAACAGTGTCATTGATAGAGTCGTTAATAATTGATAGTATACGTATACAACATGTACATTTGAGAGGAAAATAATAACAAAGATACACATATTTGCTGCATGATAATTAGTTTCAATTTTTTTTTGTTTTTCCAGCAAGCATTTTGTGAGAAAGATGGTACAAGAGATTTGACATGGGCATGGAAGATGCAAAGAGAAGAAAGTGTATGTAGGCAATGAAATTCGTATAGAAATTACCATAATCTTGTTTATGGCTAAGTATTGAGCAATTTTTCGGGTTTGAACTCTAATTCTGAAGCATGTGACTCACAAAGAGATTAGATCTCTTCCTTCTTCTGATTCACTTGAGAATTGTAACAGGCGGAAACAATTTCCACTATGAGATTCCTAGATTCATGACATTGTTCAAGGTGGTTGTTTTTGGTGCAGTGTTGTATATCGAGAAAAAATAACATTGGAGTATTGGACCCTCGGATTTTATTCATGATGTCTAAATCTGCTTGGCACATTTGATGCAATAAATGTCAGGAGTGAGGTTCTTTTCAGAATTTTCAACTATGTGATGATTCGAAAATGGGTTTGGTCTGAAATTGCATACAGTGTTTCTCTGGAGAAAGTAAGAGGAGAAAACAAGCCAAAAAATTTCCTTTCTCACAATCTTTGGTAGTTTACTTATAAAAAAAAATTGATATACAGTGAGAGACTATTAGAAACAATAACCTTGACGAATATATAAATATATAATTCTATTTAAATATAAAAATATACAATTATGCTCAATCCTAAGTTTGACCAGAATTGTATATTTTTATATTTCTATATCTGTTCTGTATATAGAACAAAAACCTTATGCTCAATTCTTGGAATTGTATATTTATATATAAAATCTTAGAAATTGAAATCCTGTGGTGCATATCACACTAAGGACTTCAATTCTTAAGATTCTGTATCATCAAAGTTACATATCAATTATGCATTTTGTTTGTGTTATTTGTATTGAGACCTATATTTTAGGTTCATTGAAGCTGACCTGAGTATTTTTTAAGCCTTAGTCATATTTAAGATTTGGTTTGTGATTAGGATACTTAACAATGGAGGAGAATGAACAAGAATCACGACCATTGGCTTTTACTCCAACATGGTCTATTGCTATTGTCTTAACATTTTTCCTTGCTTTTTCCTTGCTTCTAGAGCGTGCCATTCACCATTTAAGCGATGTAAGTGTTTTTAGAATCTTTATTTAGCTTTAGTTGTGTTATGATGATGTTTGAATAAACTTCTCTATAAACACTTTTAAGAGTGAAAAATAGAAAGAAAAATGAAATAAATTTTTCCATAAGTTATAAAATTAGTTTATACTTAAATTAATTTGTAGAAACTCTCTCTTGATAACTTCTCCAAAATCTTAAAGTTAGTTTTAGCAAACCTAAGTTTGTCTATAACATGCTATCAAACTTGTTACTGAACTGAGTTCATTTATATGTTGCAATAAACTATTCATTTGTAGATCTACTTCTAATAGGATACAAACAAGTCCCACATCGATAAAATAATATAAGAAATAATAACTTATATAACATAAACATACTTCAATGATTGAGAGGCCTTTTGGGTAATGACCAAAAGCAAAACCGTGAGGGCTAAGGCCCAAAGCGGACAATATCTCATCATTGTGGAGTATGCTTATGTAATAACCTTATAAAAATAACTCTCCTCAGACAAATGCCATAAAATAACCCCAACAACTTCATCTCTTACATATACAAATTTATTTTAATGTGCATTGAATGGACTACAAAGAAGCTCTCTAACTCTATCTTCACAATGTAATCTATGAATTTCTTTCTTTTATTCTTTTGGTTGAAGTTTGGTTCTGCCTATTTATTTTCTAAATATTAAAAATATATCTGACTTGAAAAATATCACCCAGGATAAAATTCAAGAGGGACTAAGGGAAAGGGGTTCTTAGAGCTTCCTTTCTGATTTGCTTTCCTTGTGATGCCAACAAATCATCAACAGAATTGAAAATTAATGTATTTTTGTATAAAGTGCCTTTTTATTTGCATCCGTTTTTGGTGATCAAAGTGCCATGTTTCCCTTACTTTTTGTTCACACTATGATAAGATCATAAGTAACTATGTTGATTACATGTATGTTTGAGTAGACTTCTGCATAAGCTGATAACCACTTATGCAAGAAGAAAATAAAAAGAAAAAATGAAATAAATTTTTCCAAAAATTAAAATTAGCTTATACATAAACTAATTTGTAAAAGTTCTCTTGTATTAATTTCTCTAAAGACTAATTGTTAACCTATGTAAAAACTAATTTTAACTTATACAAAAACTTATTTCTTATTTTATTCACCTAAATGTATTTACAGATAAGTTTATTCAAACATGTTTTAGGTCCAAACAAGGGAACTTCTATAAAGTTTAATCACTTAACATGTTTAATTGTTAATTAAACTTGATCACAGTGTTGAAGTAAATGGTTTTTTTTATGGTTATAGTGGTTGAAGAAAACGAATCAAAAGCCCTTTCTTGCAGCATTGGAAAAAATGCAAGAAGGTATCATGCATTAATTAAGTTTTACTACAATCCTTTTTTATAAGCAAGTTTGATCCCTTGGTGCTTACTGACTTTTCTACAATGATCTAATTTTATTTAACATTTCTCTTTTCCTATTTATCAACTCTCACAAGTTCACAATTTTATTTAATATTGATCTCAGAGATGCAGCTGCTTGGATTTGTATCACTTCTATTAATAGCTACCTCAGACATGATAGCAAATATTTGCATTCCAGAGAAGTTCTACAATGATGCTTTTGCTCCATGTACTAGATCCGAGATTGCTGAAGAAACGGAAAAGAATGACACAGAAGAGCATAAATTGTTGATGGCTTCCACTAACCCACGCGTAATTAGGAGAATATTGGATGACATAAATAAAAAATCTTGCAATGAGGTATGATTTCTTGGAAAGTTTCAAATCGCTTGTCTCAATTCTTGAAGTACAACTTATATTCTGTAGGAAAACTTCACTTAATGTCAATTAGTTTTAAGATAAAATTAAACATAATATCAGAGCCTATAATCCATCTTGATAAATCGCCTATCAGAATAGGCGATTTAAGATAAAATCTTGGTAAATTGCTTGTCTCAATCCTTGGAGTACAACTTATATTCTGAAAACTTCACTAAATGTTAATTGGTTTTAAGATAAAAATCTAACAAGACAACTTTACTTAATGTCAATTAGTTTTAAGATAAAATCTAACATGAGTAATACCTTTATTATTGTGGCTTCTACTGTTATGAATTAATGGATGCCAACTTGGAATTTGTTCTTTTGCTCAGGGTTATGAACCTTTTGTTTCACATGAAGGTCTAGAGCAATTGCACCGTTACATTTTTATCATAGCTGTAACACACATATCTTTCAGTTGTCTCACAATGTTGTTAGCAATTGTGAAGGTGAGATATTCTCTATAGTAAAAAAGGTCTGGCTTCCACACATTATCACTATTGAAAAATGAGCATAACATAATATTCTGCAATACACTGGTTTGAATGTTTAATCCACATGTTCATGTTCTTTAATATGCTTATACATGGAAACAATGTAGATTACTTCGAGTCATTCTAAATGTGGGATTTGATCCAACCTGTAATTTATTTGTGCTATCAGGGGAAGATAATCCTTAGCAAGATTTGGGTAAACTACTTTCAGCTAATTAATGTTACTACTAAGTTGAAGAGGGTGAAAATTAATGAACTTGTTATTAAAATATTGAAAAATTTAAAAGAAAGAAAGAAAAATACCATAAAATAACTATATAAGACAAGATTGTATATGTTACTGAAGGCTATACACAATGTTCAGTTCCCTTTAATGCAACTTATTAAACTTTGAACTTTCTTTAGCTTGCACAAGGTAATTAAAATTTGATAGAGAGATCCACCAATGTTAAAGAACTTTGAGATTCTTCCCTTTCTGGAATGGCTCACCATTCTAACTACCATCTTCAATACTTGAGCATATAAAAGCCCTATTGTGATAATTTTCTTCGTAAACACTTATAAGAGACAAAAATAAAAAAGGAAAAATGAATTGAGCTCCTTTCATAAGTTATTTTATTTGTTAGCTTAAATTTCTCCCATAAATTAAAAATCAACCTATGCATCTCAACTTTATGAGAAATTAGATTAAAGTCCTTCTATAAAAGTTAAATGCATAACTTGATTTTAACTTATGGCAGGAGTACAATTTATGTTACCTTCTTATTTTTTGTCCTATACGATTACTTACAAAAAAGATTATCCAAACTGATGGAAAAATAGTCCATCATGTTCTACTCCTATGAAGCATCGTTGTTCTATGTGGTAAAGGTAGAAAATTAGTAAGAAAAATAAAACCTTACATGTATATTTTACCCATCCATATTATAAGATGTGTACTATGACTCATTATCATCTATTTTCCGGAATGCTGTGAATGAAAACACAATTTGATGATTAGATTGTTGTTTTGGTCAAAATTCAAACTACATAATAATTGATAGTTCTTCAAACATGTACAAGTGATGTCCTTCAATCTGTCTTATCTTAGTCTGAGATGCATATCCAACTTGCTCACACCAAATCAAAGAGACTTGTTTGATTCATAGTTCGTGTAAAGTAGAAAGGGTAAAGTACCAATCTACAATCAAAAGTTCTACTATATCAACATAAATCCTAAAGTATTTGGGGGAAAATTGTTCCTGACTTGATTTAATTTGATTCTCATTTTCATTGCTTTTAAACGGTGCTTTACCAAAAAATAAAAAAATAAAAACTACCATGTTGAATTGCATTTCCATTTTACAGTCGGTCATTGCTTGACATTATTGTTGGGGGATTAAAACACGGTTTCACATCAATAAAAAAAAAGAATTTATAAAACATACATATAATGTCTTTTGGGTGATAACCAAAAGTATAACTATAAAAGTTTAAATCTAAAGTGGATAATATCTTATCATTGTGAAATTGTTTGTGAAATAACCTTATAAAAAAATAAAATAACTCTATTAGTGGTATAGAGTCACAGGTTGGATTCGGTGACAATCAATAACTTATAATAAAAAGTGATAAAATGATATACAAAGACAACAACGGTATAGAGATAAATACTGACAAAATAACCCTAATAGTGGTATAAAGTCACAGGTTGAATTTGGTAGTAACTAATAACTTATAACAAAAGTGATCAAATGATATATAAAGTTGAGATACAAATAAGGTCTCACATCGATAAAACAAGAAAAAAAAAATAAGAGTTTATAAATCATATACATACTCCAATATGTTTTAAAGATATATTTGATTTTCGGTGTCAGTAAGTGTCAAATGTACTACTCATACTCAGTATTTCAAATTAATTTTAATTTAGATTCCATTAAACATAATCATAGGAACATGAAACAATCTGTTTAAATTCCAGGAATTCTGTGATGTGTCTTGGTATAGAAGTAAAACCTCAATCTGCTATTTATTTTGGATTTTTGCTTGATGTAGTAACAGTGTAATTATTTAAACTAGATTCACAGTTGGAGAACGTGGGAGAATGAGGCTCAAATAGATCCACACAATTGTTCATTTTCTGGTAAGATAAAAATTGATCATTTTTCTTCTGTAGATAGTTGATCATGTATCCATATTCCGTAATCCCATTTTGTCCTTTACAATTATTTTTGCAGCTGTTACTTCTACGATTGACTATAAAATTAATGCAGTTGTCTATTTCTACTTCTAATGTACAATCCATATGCAATAAATCCTTGTTATTTATATAAAATCCAAATCAATATTCATGTTTTGTTCTGATTCACTTTACCAAAACTGCCAAAAAATTATGTTGGTAGTACCTATATAATGATCACTAGCTGTGTACTTCTCTTATTCTGTTAATAAATTAGTAAATCATCAAAAAAATATAATTGTCAGTGCTGATCAAAAATGAAAAATAGGATCTAGATATCATTTCCTAAGTTCTTTTTTACAGACCATGTAAAGCCTTTTTATGTTTTTGTGTCATATCATTTTCAGCGTCGAACATTTAGACCTTCCAAAAATGAACTGTTCAATGTTTTATGATACATGAAAACGTGTGGTCATGTAGTTTATTTAAATTCATCTTCTGAATTAGATTGACAATTCATGTGTTGCAACAGAAATCCCAAGACATGTGCCAGCACTAAGTCAAACATCCTTAATTATGGTTCATAGATCAAATCCATTGTTCAGAAACACTTTCCTCATTTGGGTGGTAATAACAGAACCTCCATTTTATTTCTTCCTTTCCATTTAGTTAAATTTCATTTTTTTTTTCATCATGTCTATTAAAAAATTGAGTTAGAAAAGGAAGATATATGAAAATGTTTGAAATCAAACAGTGCATAACATAGTTTAACATATTTGTATTCTTGACAAGGGCTAGACTTTTTTGCCATCCCTACTTGTTGATCCTACACAATGAGAGTAAGAATCTGTAATTTTTGTTGATCCTAATTTTTTACTCCAACAAGTCATTTTTTCTTTCTTGTCACTTATATACTTTTGTTCATCAAGGATGAAGGGAAGGAATTTCTTTTTCACCTTGAACTTTATTACATAATTGCATAAAGAATTCTTGACATATGTGCTTAGAATATGAATCAACTTTTGTGTTGATGCAAAAATATATCAATACTAAACTATTTTTTTTTGTTTATGTAATTAACTGCTTCCATCAAGTCATTAACCATTACTAAGTTTGAACAAGTTTTTTGATTTATTAAACAAGTTAAATTGTATATTGACTCTGCTCAAGCAACAGAATTGAGTAGAATAGCGCACCATACAATTTATGTATGATATATATATATATATATATTACTACATCGATTATCAATAAAATCGATGTAGATTTGTGCATAAATCTATATTGGTTTTCCTTACAATCGATGTAGATTTATGCACAAATCTGTATCAGTTTCAAAATCGATGTAGAAGTGTATATATTTCTAAGTTACCGTATTCTATATCAGTTTTAGAACGAATGTAGATGACCTCGCAGAACTGATATAGATAATGCATCTTGTAGTAGTGTTAATTAAGCACAAAATATCTATAGATTTTGTTAGTTAAATGCAACTAAAACTCAAATAAAAAGATATTTCAGACATGGTGAAAATTGTATAAAAATTACTTCAAAAGATAATTAAAAATATTCAAAAAAAATATAATTTCATATTATTTTTTAGTTGCTTATAAGACATATATTTCACACAAATAAAATTTAAAAAATAAAAGATCATAATAAATATTTTAAAATATAAAAAATCAAAACAAATATGACAAATAAGATAATTTATCTATTTTTTTTTCATTTATTAAACTCAAACCAAATACATTGCTTAAAAATATTGAACTTAGTACCACTAAAATCACATCTCTTTGCCAACCAACAATCCCATGAACAATATCCCATATTTATGATAAGTACCAAACCATTAACACATTAAAGTCTCATCCTGAGTTACTAATACCTCTTAGTGTTGACCCACCATCACGCATGAGTACCAAACTCTTTACCATCGTAGCCAATATAGGGTATAAACCATCAACGAGCCCACTAATCAACCCATCAATCACATTGTGATCAACACACCAATTATATCTCCTAAACCCATGAAAAAACCAACAACAACCATGATTGAGCATCTAAACATACTAAAACAAGTTTGTATACCATATTAACGATTGAACCAAACACCCCATCACTTTATACATGCTACATGCACACCACTTGAGAAGCATCGTGTGATATCATATTACTCCAAACCTATCCACCATGACACCACTTATGAACTAGCATCAACCCATAGTAATTAGGTTCCTATTATTGGTTGTTTCTTCTTTGGCTTTGAGGTTACTTAGATTACTTATGTTTTTTTTTTTAATTACCACTTGCGTCTCTTTAACTAAACGTGTCATATTTAGTTGGTTGCATCTTTTTCTTGTTGTTTGCATGTGACATTGAGTTGTGACTATCTTTTTCTATCCAAATATGGATGCTTTTCATTTCATTTTGATTAATAACTTGTATGTGTATTTTTGTTATATTCCTTTCACATTCTTTTTAGTTTCTTTGGATCAAAATTGTAAAGCTAGTATATTCTTTCGTACGTTAAAAAATTATTTAAATAAAGAAATATGCCTTGTGGTACCGTGAAAGGTCAAGTAAAAGGTAATTAATTAACATATTGAGATAAAATCTTTAAATAGTAACTATAAATACTTCAAAACTATGTAAATAACTCAATTTATATTTATAAAAAATAAAATAAACTAATATAAAAAAGTAAAATAAAGATGTCTAATTGTTATCAATAAAATATGTGTTTCGTTTTTAGTTATCACAACTTTCAAAACATTTCAATGAAGAAATTTATATCTTATTGCTTAGAATCAAACCGAAATTTCAACATTTGAAACACAAAAATAAAAACACTCAAAATTAGTAATAAAACACATAATTGTTGAATATATTTGTTTGTTTTTATATTTGAAATAGTCAAACCTCATTTTGACTCAAAGTAACAATAAACAATCTTCTCCGTTGAAGTATTTTGAAAGTTAAAATACGAGTTCTATTTAGAACCACGTATTCCTTTATAATTTAATTCTGAAGGTATCTAATTTGAAGTTTAATTGAATTGCAGGCTTGTTTTTTACGACAATTTTGGAATTCTTTGGTTCGCAGTAATTATCTTACACTTCGCAAAGGCTTCATCATGGTATCCAATTCTGTTTGTCTGAAGTCTAAATGTTTCTTATTCGAAAGCAACATAATATGCACTACTAGAAAAATTAAAATTTGTGACGAAAATTTGTGACGGATAAAATGTCGTCACTAATAGTGACGACTTCTGTGACGAAAATTTTATTTTTGTGACGAACTACTTATTTTTAGAGTTTGTGACGGAAAAATTTCCGTCTCTAACAATTCCGTCACAAACGCGGTCACTAATAAAAAAAAATTGCGACCGATTTAGTGACAGATTTTGATTCCTCTCTAAATATTTCGTCACAAAAATCCGTCACAAAATTTAATGAATAATTTTGTGACGGATTCTGTGACGAAAATTTTTAAAAATTATATTCAGTCACAAATTCCGTCACAATTTGTGAGGGATTACGTATCTCATTATATTTTTTTAAGTTGCTTATTTTATTATTTCATTAAATAAGCAACTGATATGATACTATTAAAAAATATGATTGGTTATCAGTGTGAAAAAACTTTACACTTCATTTAGTAATTAAGGAGTGTGTAAAAGTTTCTCTTTCTTCTTATTTTTAAAATGTCAACTTTTAGTCATTTATAAAAATTTTAAGTTTTAATTTTATTAAGAAAATTAATGTAAATATAGCACATGATCATCAAGCACATCATTCACTTATGATAATGCATAGAGGGAAACACAATCATCATTTTAAGTGAGCATTTGAGTTAAAATTGGTAAAAACATGAGATAAGAATCTAACGCAAAGGATTTGGACTTTCAATAGTAAGATTTTAATATTTCGGTGTGCTTTGATTTATAATTGTCATAACTTTCAAAATACTTCAACGGAGAAGATTGTTTATTGTTACTTTGAGTCAAAATGAGGTTTGACTATTTCAAATATAAAAACAAACAAATATATTCAACAATTATGTGTTTTATTACTAATTTTGAGTTTTTTTATTTTTGTGTTTCAAATGGTGAAATTTCGGTTTGATTCTAAGCAATAAGATATAAATTTCTTCATTGAAATGTTTTGAAAGTTGTGATAACTAAAAACGAAACACATATTTTATTGATAACAATTAGACATCTTTATTTTACTTTTTTATATTAGTTTATTTTATTTTTTATAAATATAAATTGAGTTATTTACATAGTTTTGAAGTATTTATAGTTACTATTTAAAGATTTTATCTCAATATGTTAATTAATTACCTTTTACTTGACCTTTCACGGTACCACAAGGCATATTTCTTTATTTAAATAATTTTTTAACGTACGAAAGAATATACTAGCTTTACAATTTTGATCCAAAGAAACTAAAAAGAATGTGAAAGGAATATAACAAAAATACACATACAAGTTATTAATCAAAATGAAATGAAAAGCATCCATATTTGGATAGAAAAAGATAGTCACAACTCAATGTCACATGCAAACAACAAGAAAAAGATGCAACCAACTAAATATGACACGTTTAGTTAAAGAGACGCAAGTGGTAATTAAAAAAAAAAACATAAGTAATCTAAGTAACCTCAAAGCCAAAGAAGAAACAACCAATAATAGGAACCTAATTACTATGGGTTGATGCTAGTTCATAAGTGGTGTCATGGTGGATAGGTTTGGAGTAATATGATATCACACGATGCTTCTCAAGTGGTGTGCATGTAGCATGTATAAAGTGATGGGGTGTTTGGTTCAATCGTTAATATGGTATACAAACTTGTTTTAGTATGTTTAGATGCTCAATCATGGTTGTTGTTGGTTTTTTCATGGGTTTAGGAGATATAATTGGTGTGTTGATCACAATGTGATTGATGGGTTGATTAGTGGGCTCGTTGATGGTTTATACCCTATATTGGCTACGATGGTAAAGAGTTTGGTACTCATGCGTGATGGTGGGTCAACACTAAGAGGTATTAGTAACTCAGGATGAGACTTTAATGTGTTAATGGTTTGGTACTTATCATAAATATGGGATATTGTTCATGGGATTGTTGGTTGGCAAAGAGATGTGATTTTAGTGGTACTAAGTTCAATATTTTTAAGCAATGTATTTGGTTTGAGTTTAATAAATGAAAAAAAAATAGATAAATTATCTTATTTGTCATATTTGTTTTGATTTTTTATATTTTAAAATATTTATTATGATCTTTTATTTTTTAAATTTTATTTGTGTGAAATATATGTCTTATAAGCAACTAAAAAATAATATGAAATTATATTTTTTTTGAATATTTTTAATTATCTTTTGAAGTAATTTTTATACAATTTTCACCATGTCTGAAATATCTTTTTATTTGAGTTTTAGTTGCATTTAACTAACAAAATCTATAGATATTTTGTGCTTAATTAACACTACTACAAGATGCATTATCTATATCAGTTCTGCGAGGTCATCTACATTCGTTCTAAAACTGATATAGAATACGGTAACTTAGAAATATATACACTTCTACATCGATTTTGAAACTGATACAGATTTGTGCATAAATCTACATCGATTGTAAGGAAAACCAATATAGATTTATGCACAAATCTACATCGATTTTATTGATAATCGATGTAGATTGCATTTTAAAAAATATAGTTTGTTTTTTAGATTCTTTTTGATTACCTGTAATGAACACACACACACACACACACACACACACATATATATATATATATATATATATATATATATATATATAT